TCTGTGAATTCAAAGCACTTGAAAATTGAACTAAAAATATATATATAGATACTGTAAAATAATAAAGCAAATACAATCTTAAAACAAAGAAAAAAATCAGACAAGGGAAAATGACCAAATTGATATCTGGTATAATATGGATGTAACGGTACAAAAGTCCAGCCTAACTTTTTAAACACATGAAAAGATATGGGCCCTCTGTCCACTTGTAAATGTATATTCATTTTGGCCCACCAGTTACTTTTCTTGCATGCCCCTGCCGTATCATTCTTTAGTTATTAGAATATATTGAGAACACAACGTTGTCAAATATTGTCATTATTATAGGATCATAGGATCAATTTGAATATTCTGTAGGGGTTCTGTCCCACCAGGAAACTGCTTATCATATTCAGCAATGTTTCCAAAAATGTCCTTTTGGCGCTCTCCAAGAGTCTGCACCCCGTCTCCCATTCACCGTCAGTGCTGTCTGACCATCTGTCTGATGACTTTGATTCTTACAGCAGTAAATGTAGCACTAGAACATATCTAAATCTCATCTTTAATCGCATCCACACCAGATGGCAATATAAAGAGACTCCATTATTTCCCAATGCAACTGGCACGGACATAAAACATTCGTTAAAAACATTTAGTCAAAGTTCACTGTGATTAAAACATGCCCATGCCATCACACACACACATTTTCATATTTCAGATTTGGCCCAGAGGGAGTTGCTTCAGAACAACAGGAAATGAAAGCCAAATTCTTGGCCGAGTGCGAGTTTTCAGTTTCCCATTAATTGCAATTAGTTGTGGCTGCGTTTGGCGCTTCTCCAGCCTCGATCCTCACGTGCGTGGATCAGAAGAGTTGTTTGGACTTGTTTTTACAAATACGAGGCCCCAAGGTTCAAATCCAACATCACTGAGACTACATGTACTGCAAGAAATACAAATGGCTTTCCTTCTCTCTGTTATGCACTGTGAACATTAAAGAAGAAATATCATGCATAATGTTTGACCATTATTCTGGATAATGAGATGATTTACTTTCTTTTTCAGGTTTTAAGATTTGAAGTAGAATATACGGAAGAAGACTTTTCATGCTAATTTTAGTTTGCTAAAAAAGGATTTTCTGTCTGTAACTCCATATTCTATCACCAGAGTAGATTTTTTCCAAATTTGCCAAAATAATTGTACGACTAAGTAAACATAGTGGTACAATTACATCATACTACAAAAGGGGTCGAGCTACAGTACATGTTTTTTGTCAGAAGTTCCTGATATTAGCAGGAAAGGATCGAAAAACAACTCCTGGTCTGTGAATGAAGAACAATGTTGTAAGTTTTATCTGACATAAGTTTTCCTGTTTTAGGGCAGTTGTATTATCTTATTGAGAGCTGGTTCAGAAGTTCCAGGGATCCTTGTATTTATTTTAGGGCAGAGACTTTAAGGCATTATTTAAGATAAATTCAAAGTTTTTTAATAGTACTTATTTTTGCACCATGTTTTTCACTGGATGAGTTTTAGGGGACTTATTATACGGGAGAAGCTGGTTGTAAATTTGTTTTTTAACGAACAGATAGAAGTGTCGATAAGAGAGGTATTAGATGCAAGCTATGCAACTAATTCACATATCATCTCAATAAATAGAGCAGCTCCTGTGGAAGTTGGCCTGACAGTTACACAGTTCACTGGTTTAAGGACGTGGGGAACTAACCCCACGACTGAAAAAATGACCAACGGCCGGTCTGGCTCACTGATTTGCACTCGACTGTAGAGCACTTGGAGTGGTAGAAGATAAGGGCCCTCAAAATGTACTATACTTCTAAATATGCTATTGCTACAGTAAAAAGACTTCAAGATAGTGACATATGAGGGGAGGAGCTTCAAGTAGAGGTGCTACTTCTGTGGAGATGGTTTCTAACCCAAGAGCGGCCGGAGGGAACTTGACCTGAGATTGTACTGATAATGTGTTGCTACATCTGTAATCCTGCGGTCCGGAACTCGCCTCTGGGCAGAGGAAAGTGTAGGAGTCTTTCATATGGCCTTTGATCAGAAATAGTCTTGATTGATTTTGCAGTGGTGATGTTGGGTTGGTGTTTCTCTGAAGTTTGCTGAGGCTTCTGTCTGTTCTCTGTTAAATCTTCTCTTGTGATGGTGTTCAACCAGTGGTTAGGTCAGGGATAAGAGAGGCCTTTACGTCCAGGGGCGAGGCTTGCCCATGAAAAAAACAAAAAACATTCAGTTGTTTGGTATAGTATGCTGGTATACTAGGCCTGTTCTTTTTCCACATTTTTTTTTTCATAAAGTTGCATTTCATAGGTGCTTGTGTGTCTGGATGTGGTCATGTTTTATTTGCCATAATAATCCCAGTTTGCTTCAAAACAACCTTAGATCTTCTTTTATAATTTATCTCACTGTCCGTTGATTAGATCATACAAAGACTTCAACGTTTGATGCAAAGCTTTATTATAGATACAAGAGTGAGAGAGAACAGTCCGTCTCTGATATTAGAATGTTTTTTTTTTTTTTCAAACAAAGAGAAAGCTTCAGGCAGGGTTTGTGAAATCTATAGGGAAATATAAAACAGGTCAAAGGACATGTGGAAATATATGTCCTGATACAACACACTGTGTTTGTCCGGTGATTAACTCAGGTGAGATACTGCTACATCAGAGCATGTTGATCTGCAGCCTGTACTTTGATCCCAGTTAAGCTGAGTGTAACATTCCAAAATACAGTTTTTTGTGATCTAACTGTAAGTTATTAGGGGATATAATTATCTGTATTTAATGTATATTGAAGATGTATTATTGTAACTGTAGTAAAAGGGAAGGAAAATAATGAGCATAATGTTCCGGGGCCAAATGAGGCAAACCAGCAGAAACACACTCACAACACAAACATGTATCAATGTCAGAAAACTATACTATTAATTTTTGTCCTATAATAAGTTTTGTGAGGTATAGAAATAAAGATTGTGTTGAATAATTGAATATTTAAATGGCCCCTCTTCCAAAGGGGCCAAACACCCCTGAAGCTGAAAGTCTAACATTTCAAAACATTTCTAAAATCGAGACGAGTTTTGAAACATGGTTAAAAGCTCAATACAGATGCTTTAAAAGACCATATATGCCCCTTAAATCAGAATACAATGTTCTTTTCATAATCAGGCTATGTGAGGATAGCTTATATTTGCCATGTTCATAAACTTACAAACTGAAGTGACTAAGAACACAACCACTTTCATAGTTTATTTTATCTTAACCTTATCCTCATTAATCCATCTAATCCATAAAGAAAATTGCGTAGACTTAAATATGATCAGCAGCTTTGATAACATAATAATCCTGACCACAATGCCAACACAGGTCATAATGGTACTTGTGTCTGTACGTTGGGAGTCGTGTCCACAGCGGGGAGATCGCTCCATGTCCTGGTTTGGTCCCGACTCTGGCCGACTTCAAAGTAAAGTTCTAATTGGCTCCTCGGCTCCTGTGCTCCACTTTTCTCTTCTGTACAATTCCGTGTTTGATCATGTGACGATACTGAAACCACCTTTTATAGAACAAAAAGGGAAAAAAAAAGTTCAGGGCAGGTTCAGTCACAGAGAACACTGTGACTGAATTTGATTTTGAGACCCAAGATTAATCAGATATGAGGCCCCCAAGTTTATAGTTTATTTGGTTGGGACAGTGCATGTTAATGAACACACCACTCTGGATTGTAGAACCGAGGACACAAGCACGAAAAGGATTACACCACGTGGCCCTCTTGTGTGATTATACAAGCTGCAAAAGCAATTTCTCTATCGTGAATAGAATGAGGTGGCTGAGTGGATAGCACTCTTGCCTCTCAGCAAGAAGGTTCTGGGTTTGAATCCCGGTCAGAACAGGGCCTTTCTGAGTGGAGTTTGCATGTTCTCCCCGTGTCTGCGCAGGTTCCCTCCAGGTACTCCGGTTTCCTCTACCACTAAAAACATGTGCAATAGTTCAGGGTGAATGAGTGTGTGTTTGTGAACTGTACAAATGTGGGACAACGGATGGAAATTAGCCCATGGCTACAATCCGAAGTAATGTGATCATTAACATGTACTGTCCCAACCAAATCCATCCATCCATCCATCCATTTTCTACCCTTTAATCCATTTCTCGGTCAGGGGGGTGGCAATCAGAGATGCCACCCAAGTCTCATAGCACCAGCCCCTCACTGACCCTCTGCAGGTGGTGAGTCCACAGGTGAACGGCTGCTCTCTGAGTGTGAGCATAGCCTTGATCTTTCAGTGGGGGCTTTGGGCAAAGTGGGGTTAAGTGTCTTGCCCAAGGACACAACGACAGCAGTCATCAGTGGGAGTCGGTGGAGAAGGTGCAGAGGTGGGAATTAAACCCATGACCTTCTGGCCTTAAGGTCAATGCTCTGCCAACTGAGCTACTGTCGCCCCGCCAAATAATCAAATAAACACCAATAAATAAATAAATAATATCTTATTCAATAATTCTTAAAAAAACAAACCTTGGAAGTGATAGTCAGAATCAGAATCAGAATCAGAATCATTTTTATTGCCACGTAAGTAACAGGAGGTCACAGACTTGGAAATTGCTTTGGCTCAGTGCAACAGTCAGAAAGAGATAATAAAAATAAGAATAAAAACACTTTATATTTAAATTTAAAATAGAGTTACAGCTACTATTTACAATATACAAGTGCACATGGTGCACACAATGTAAGGTGACAGCAGTACAGTGAAGTAAAGTGACGTATGATGGGCAGTAAAGTGACTTTATAAAGGGCGGGGGGACAGGTTAAGAAGTGTTCAAGAGTCCAACAGCAGAGGGGAAGAAACTGTTCTTGTGGCGGGAGGTTCTAGTCCTGATGGACCGCAGTCTCCTGCTTGAGGGGAGTGGTTGGAATAGTCCATGTGCAGGGTGAGAGGGGTCGGCTGTGATACGACCAGCCCGGCCTCGAGCTCGGGCGACGTACAGGTCCTGCAGCGATGGAAGGCTACGGCCGATCACTTCCTATGCAGAGCGCACAATGCGCTGTAGTCTCTGTTTGTCCCTGACTGTGGCTCCAGCGAACCACACGGTGATGGAGGAGGTGATGGAGGAGGTGAGGATGGACTCGATGATGGCCGTGTAGAACTGCACCAACATCTGTGCAGGCAGCTTGGCTTTCCTGAGCTGCTGCAGGAAGTACATCCTCTGCTGGGCCTTCTTGATGAGGGAGCTGATGGTCGGCTCCCACTTGAGGTCCTGGGTGATGGTGGTGCCCAGGAAACGGAAGGACGCCACAGAGGTGATGGGGGAGTCCATCACGGAGGGTGGGAGCGGGGAAACAGTGCTCTTCCTGAAGTCCACAATCATCTCCACTGTCTTCTGGGCGTTCAGCTCCAGGTTGTTACCACTGCACCAGGACACCAGCCGGTCCACCTCCCTCCTGTAGGCGGACTCATCGTTGTTGGAGATGAGTCCAATGAGGGTGGTGTCGTCCGCGAACTTGATCAGCTTCATGTAGTATTCCCCAGTTTGGGAATACTATTTCTCTATTGCCTGTTCAATCATTAAGTTTATGCAAATACTAAACCTATGACACAAGATATGCCTTTTATGTTTCAAATGAACACACGTTCCAACGTCATCTCTGACATCACTGAATCATGCTCCGAGCCACGCTTCCCTGTGAGGCTGCACTGATTACTCCAAACATGCTTTGAAGCTTTGATTCAATTACTAATTGAATCAAAGCTAATTCACTAATCACTAATTCATACTATTGTTGCATTGTCCTAGTCCATTGTGTGATTTTCTCTTTTGCAGTGTTCAGATGTTGCTGATTTAAGGTTTTCCTGTATCATTCTTTCTTTAGTTGATCTTGTTAGTTGCACTGCACGTTTTTTTTCCCGTTTGTCTAAACAAGACAAAATGTGCAAAAGGCTCGTCAGTGGGTGGTGATTCAGGGCCGTCTCGCAGACAGACGCTCCATCCCTCATCAGACGAACACTCGGCTCAATCCAATCACGGCCACTTGTTTGCAGAAGAGTCTCTCGTTTGTAAACATCTCCTCAAATGACCTGGCATCATTCAGAACAAAAGGGAAAAACAATTTTTTTTGTATAAAACATTTCAAACATGGCTGCAGCTCTATCAAATCGACTTTATTTTATTGCACCATTAAACAACATGACATTTCTAAAGTGCTGCACACAAGACCAAAGCTGAACAAAAGAACCCCACCATTAATTTTGTACAAAGTAACATACAGAAATAAGAGCACATTAAAAATTATGAAACAAAAACATAAAAGGAGCATAAAAAATCTAAAGAAATCACAAGACGTTAAACAAACCGAGATACGTCTGAAAGAAAAGGTCTTTAGTTTACTCTTGGACTAGCATGTGATATCATTTGGCTGTGCACTTAATGGGAGAAAGCAGCTTCTCCTTCTTTCAGTTTTACTTCTCCTCAGCGACGGATCCACTGCCTTCATCTGCATATTTTACATCATTTGGAAGATTTTAAACCCCTTAAACCGGAGCAGGAAATAGCTTTAAAAGAATCATATCCAGCGTTTCTCTGATTGGTTGATCTCGTCTGTCAGTCATGCCCACCAGTGACCGCAGAGATCCCTCGCACTCCCAGACCTCATACCTTCGTAAAGGATTGAAATCGGATCATTTAGAAATAGTCAGGATATTGTTTTTATCCGTACGCACAAGGGCGTGTGGACGTACTATTCGACTTATTACACGCTTGTTTGTAAGAAAAGTGAAGACGCATCTGAACTTACAGCGTTTCTTCTAAAAACTGCTTTGCTTACCTGTAGACACTATATACCTAGGGAGATATTACAAGCATTTATTGGTCAATATATCCATACAATACCCAGCCCTCATTCACACCACCATCCGTTCATTCATTCAATTACATTCCTACCGAATGTACATGTTTTAAGTATTATGGGAAACTGGAGCACCCGGAGGAAACCTACGCAGACACGTGGATAACATGCAAACTACACACAGAAAGGCCTGGAGGTGTAAGCAAACCCAGGACCTTCTAGATGTGAAGCGGCGCTATTGCCTCCCAAAGTTTGATTTAGTCACATTAATTATATGTTGGTGGAGATTGACCTCCAAATCTAAACTGTGATGATGGAGAAGTCCTGGTCTCAAAAGCAGAGGTGGCCTAAGGACCAGACGCAGCTCCTCAGATGTCTCAGTCCAATCAGTGCTCTTGTTTGCGGAAGAGTCTCCTCGAATAAACTGCTTTGTTTAGAACAGGGTTAAGTTAGTGCTCTGCTTGATGAGGTTGTTTATATTTGGTCTCTCCTGAATTAGAAAGGGAGTATGAGATCAAACAGAATTGCTTATCTGATCACGCTCACGTTAGGGCTGCGCCAAGTATCAACAAATTGTTATCTCAACTTTTCTCAGCCTCAACAATCAACATGCAGAGACCATGGGGCTGAAGAGGAGAACTATCTTGCTCCTAAACTTACAATTACATTTCCAGGAGACACATTGTTTAGCTTTTAAAATACTAAAATGTATTCTTTAGAATCATCCACATGTCAGAAACTTCTAACACAGACCTTCTAAAAACCTCTCAGTCCTGTAGCAGTAGGATGTCATTGATCCAGTATGAGCAGAATGACAAGACAATGGCTGTCCTCCATTTGTCATGTTAACTTTCTGAAGTTTGTTTGTATAGCACAGTTCATATACAAGGCAACTTGAAATGCTTAACAAAAAAAAACAGAAACGATAAAATCATTAAATATTGATAATTACATCCATCCATTTTCTTCCCCTTAATCCATTTCTGGGTCAAGGGGTGGCAGTCAGAGCTGCACCCACACAACACCAGCCCCTCACTGATCCTCCTGCAGGTGGTGAGTCCACAGGAGCTGAGATCTTTCAGCGGGGGTTTCAAGCAATGTGGGGTTAGGTGTCTTGCCCAAGGACACAACGACAGCAGTCATCAGTGGGAGTCGTGAAGTCTGTCTTTTGATGGACTCAAACCCACAACCTTCAGGCCCAAAGGCCAATTCTCTACCAACTAAGCCACTGTCACCCACAATCCTTGTATGCACAGCCAACAGAACCTAGAATGGAACATATCAAAGTAGACGCTTATCTCACATTTTCAAGAAGATTGTTCCAGATTAAAGATAGATAGCTGCAAAAATCTGAAATACTGTATCTCTACTGTATCTCTCTATGTAGGCCAATCCCTGTGTCAGGGAATACAGTGTATGTATATTTTTCCTTTTTCAAGTCGCTCAATGTTGTTGATAAGTTTGTGTAGCTCTCAGTCGTACAGGGATTAGTCAAAGCAAAGGAAGGTTTCTCACCCATCATCTGTACTTCTTAGCAAGTTTTCCCGACGTTTCGTCCTCAACCTAGCGGACTTCTTCAGGGAATGAATTCTCGGACCGCGCGTTGGAGATTTATAACCTATGGGTGTGATCTAACGACCCTCAGCAGGGTCGTTAGATCTGCTCCCTTCTACATCAAGCAGACCGTAGATTGTTTATGAGTTAGTTTCAGGATTAGGGTGTGGCTAACCACACTCATAGGTTATAAATCTCCAACGCGCGGTCCGAGAATTCATTCCCTAAAGAAGTCCGCTAGGTTGAGGACGAAACGTCGGGAAAACTTGCTAAGAAGTACAGATGATGGGTGAGAAACCTTCCTTTGCAATGTTGTTGATAGTTACAATAAATAACTTTCTAGACAGTACAAGTACAGGTGCAGCCAGCGTTGTTTCAATGACTGTAACTGTACTTGTACTACGCATGACAGAAGACTATCTATCACACAGCCTTCCCCAGTAACTGGAACTAGAACATGGAATGGACGGCACGCGTGTCAGAGTCTCCTTTAAGTGCATGTTTGAAACATCTGCGCTCTGCTGCATGGACTCCACAGAGCAGTGTCCTACAGAGAGAGGCATGTTCTGTTTATGGTTCTGCCCTGAGAGGATCATGAAAGATAAAAGCACAGCATGGTGCTCTCATTTGCAGCGATAACATCTGAAAAATCTGTCCTTGGCATTTTTTTGTTCTGAGTAAATGAACACAACAACAACAAAATGCTAAATACAGCACACAGATTTTTCGAAAGGCTGTGTCTGTTAGAAAGGAGACATACTCGGCACAATCATCTTTTTATTGCATTGAACCTGTACCACTGTCCCACATTAGACTCGGATATGTGTTTAGCTCAAGCCATGCTTCTGGCATAAACACCCCCTCAGCCCTTTACTTTAGAAATCGACACATTTATTGGGCCTATATTTCAAGTTTTTTTATTATTTGCTTTAACTTCTTCCCATCCGGCCTATACTACAAGGTGGCTGAGTGGATAGCACTCTCGATTCTCAGCAAGTAGGTCCTGGGTTCGAATTCCAGCCCTTTCTGAGTTTCCCTTTCGAAGTTTGTATGTTCACCCCGTGTCTGCGAAGGTTTCCTCCAGGTGCTACCACTAAAACATGTACAATAGGTCTGAATCTAATGAGTGAGTGAATGGATGGTGTTGATTGGGGCTTTGATGCTCCAGTGTGTTCGGCATCTCGTGTTTGTCATTGCTGTGCGGAGTGAATTAAACATATCTGAACTTGAAAACAGAGCTTGTAAAGGACGTCTTTAGCCTTCATTGCAGTGAATACTCTGTACTTTCTTACTACCAAATGTTTCAAATGCACTAATTGCGTTTGTTGCTGATTATTAAGACAGGATACATACATTTGCATTTCCAGAGTAATTAGGCAACCGTGCAGCCCAGAGCTCCGTGTGAGCCTTTGTGTCCCTGACCCCTTATCCAGCCCATGCAGAAGCCCCCACGGACGCCCCGAGCACGACCTCGCGTCCCAACCCTGCGTCCCAATCAAGACAATTACCCCAAACTGCCACCCAGGACTAATCACATTATCAACATATAAAACAGAAAGCCCAGGGCAATGTACATGGCATGTTTGTTTACATCGGCGGCTCTATAATGCTCTATAGAGATGAGGAATGTGTTACCCAACAGCCGTGGAGGGTTTTCGGATGGGAACAATCAGGAGTTTGTTGAGTAAAAGGCTTATCGCTCAAATTAAACATGAGTTGTACAACCAAAAGACATACATCAGGGTTAATCCCACTTAGCCAGTCAAGCATGCTTTGAAAATAACCATTTTCCCATTCCTTTGATGTAACATTCTGTATTTGAATTGGTAAATCACAATGGCGGTGTGGAGACACAGTGGCTTGAAAAAGTATTCAGCTCGATTACTGACGGCTGATGAATGTTTAAATGTTGATAGACCTCAGTGTGATTACAGCGTCCTGTGATGGCCTCAGAGGGTAGATAAGAGAATCTATACATGGGGCAAATATTAGTCAGTACACACATCTGACCTTTATGGACGAGGAGTAAATACCTGCTACTGAAATGAGGTTATTCACTCATGAAGTCTTGTTATGATTATGTATCGTCTTGCTTACACTTCACATTTGTCTACTGTGG